CTCTGTCCCTCTCTCTCTCTCTCTGTCCCTCTCTCTCTCTCTCTCTGTCCCTCTCTCTCTCTCTCTGTCCCTCTCTCCTCTCTCTCTGTTCCTCTCTCTCTGTCTCTCTCTCCCTGTCTGTTTCTCTCTGTCGCTCTCTCTCTGTTTCTCTCTTCAAGGGCAGAAAGGAGGCTGATCCCGAGCCAGAGGTCCGCTATCTCAAAGACACAGGGGATTGAGCTTTGAGCTTTGCCTCCGTGTGCCCCCCCCCCTCCCCCTGAGTGTAAAGAGGGCGACAGAAAGCAGTGTAGCGGACTGTGAACCGCATCAAATCCCCCCCATCTCGCTCCTTCCCACAAACTTTGATTGGCTCGTCCACCGACTGGGAAAGTTCCCCAATTGTCCGCGGGGGGAAATTAAGATTTTAAGCCCATTGAAGTCGATGTTCATCTGAATGTGTCCCTTTTGAGAGCTCGAACTGTTGACGTGCCACATCAGAGGAGAATGGAGTCAGGGGGGTGGGGGGGTGGGGGGGGTACTGTACCGGGAGCACCTGTTGTTGTGTAGTCGACAGTGTGTAGTGTAGAGGCTCTCCCTCCTTACAGACCAGTTTATTAGTCGTGCTTCCTCCCATTAGGGCACTCCTTCGCACACCAGATATAATGGGATCAATTGGAGCTCTAGAGCGAGTTGGGGAATTTGTTGGGAAACGGTGGAACCCGTCATGTGGAGAAGTGATGATTGTTGATCCTGGATCGGCTCCAGATCTGGTAAAGAATTAAATGTGTTGGAAAAAGTGTAATTTATGTAAAAAAAAAAAGTCTCTCAATCTCACTCCTTTCCTCCTTCTCACAGGCTCTCGGAAGTTTCTACTTCATCCACGAGTCTTTGAAAAACATCCACCAGTTTGATTTCAAAGGTGAGTATCCTAACCCCCCCCCCCCACACACACACACACACACACACACACACCATAAACCATAAAATGAAATTCCCGTGCCCCCTTCATCCCACCCCTGCACCTCCAAGCACATCACACACAATCATTCGCGGGCCATTCCCGCTTCCATCAAAAACCAGCAGAGCTAAGATTGGCTTTGAGGATAATGTAAAGGGAAGGGGGGGGGGGGGGCGCGGAATGGTAATGCTTATTAATATTAGGATTTAATTCATAAGATTTCGGGCCCGGCGGTAATGGTGTGCGGCGGGTTATTGGACAGTTACGGCGGTCTCATCAGGCTGCGGTGTCAGAGGGCCCCGGGGTCCGGCGGCCACGCTAATTAAAGGAGGGGATATAGATGTGGAGGCGTCCACGCTTCCTATTTGACCCAAGTCAGCATTTGCCAGTTGCCCTGCAGTGAAGGACAGGGCGAAGGCAAGGGAGGGGGTCGTGAGGGGGGACACATACACACACACACACACACACACACACACACTTTAAAGATGTGATTTTAAGTCTGAATTACAGAAACTATTGTGTTGCTTCTTCGTTTTGTTTTGTTGTAGAGCTTTTATTTTCCCAGCAGGCATTGCGACTTGTGAGTGCAGGAAAAGCACACATGTAGTTGGCGCTGCTATTTCCAAGTGTCAGTTAACCGATAGCAGCTAAATGGAACTCAGCCATCACTCATGTCACTGAGCTTTTTGCTCCTGTGACGTGTCATTTTCTTTCTAACACAACTAGAATTAAACTTGATCATACAGTCTCCCCCCCTCCTAGAAGAGAGATCAAAGACATGCATATATATTTCGGGTTTTCACCTCTCACCTCTCTCGCTGAAGACCCATTCACTCCCAGTTCTGACCAGCAGGTGGTGCAGTTGTCTGAGGAAGCCAAAGTGGCTCTGGCATTCTTTGAGCTTTTAATTGAAACAGGAGATTCAGCCTCACACACACGGGGGTCTCCGGCCATGTTTTGTCAAAATAAACTGTCTGAATTTTTCCTTCCTCTTCCTCCTCCTCCCCCCTCTCTCTCTCCGTCTCCACTTGAAGCCAAGAAATTCAAGAAGGTCGTGGGGAAGGAGACCTACTCGGAGACACTAGAGAGCACACCCTCCCTGGAGAAGGAGAAGTTTCCACAGGACTACTTTCCCGAGGTGGGTGACGTGACGGGCAGCACTTGGCTGACTGATGGCGGTGTTGTCGTCCAATGGCAGCTCTCTGCCGGGACGAGGGCCGACGGACGGAGTGAACACAGAGCTCTTTTACATCGCATGCAGGTTTAATAAAGCCGCTGAGTTGAAAAAGTCATCAATCAAGGACACAAACCGATGAATGTAGATTCATTTTCCCCCCTAAACAAGATTGCAAAAGAAATCATATAAAACACCTGAAGCATTGAAGCTTGTTCTGTTATACGACTTAATAATTTAAAAGAAAAAAAGAGATTCTTTCTCCTACTTTTTCAATAATTTTACAAAAAAAGCCATTTTGTTTTCTATGTATCTCTTTTTCGTCCATTTTTTTTTTCCTGCTTCGAGGAAACCCATCTGACACATGGCTGATTTGAAGACAAATCAGTCACAAAAATTCTAATCGAGAACCAGGGGGGTCCTCGCTGTGTCCCGTGGAGCAATTCCCCTGCTCACTCCGCCGTGTTCGGGTTTTCTGGTTCCGGTGTGTGTGTGTGTGTGTGTGTGTGTGTGTGTGTGTGAGTGTGAGTGTGAGCATAGCTGTGCTGATATAGTAATAAAGAGCACGGTCGCCCGTGTGTCATCCCCGCACTCCCCACTCATCTGTCAACCATGCTCCACCGGTCGCCTCCGCAAATATATGCAAAACAGATGGATACGGCCCCTTCACACACTTCCCCCCGATTTCCGTCTCTTTCACACACTTGCCAGGACACCCCACCCTGAGCCGCCCTACACACACACACACACACACACACACACACAAACACACGCATCCAAACATCTTCAGGTTTCCCCACGTTTCCCTTCCGGAGATGATCTAAAACCAATTACACTGATTGAGGCCCAAAAAGCCATTCGAATGATTGCAGCGGACGCGTTGGTTCTTTGCGTTTTTAGCGGGACGAGCGAAAAAACGCGGCAAACAAACGCGACGCGGCGTGAGAGGGATGAGGGGATTGATGTAGAGGGAAAGGAGGTGTAGGTGGGGAGGGGAGGGCAGATGAGAAAAAGTTTTGCCCCGGTGATTTATGCCTCTTCCCCGGGCCAGGATATGAATCTGGGATGATGCTCCGGAGAGCAGCACTCCAGATAATGTTAGCCCATTTAAAAAGAGCAGATTTGTGTAGTCTATCAGGGTCGCCGAGTATTTTTTTATTTTTTTTCTTCTCCTTCCCCTCCCTCTCGCCCTCCTCCGCCGCCCCTCCGTAGTGAGAAATTGGTTGTTATCATAGATCACAGATACTGCTCAAACCTCTTATGAAAGATGAATTAATTTCACTAATGCTTTAATGCAAAGCTCTCATGAGGGAGGCAGACTGGTGATAACCCCTGCCTCGTCCCCGCTTCCTCCGCCCGTGATTTATGCCCTCTTTTAGTAGATGAAACCGCCTAGATTTGCCATCCATCTGCAGCTTTGAGGAATCCTATTACACCGGGGGTGGGTGGGAGGGGGTGGATCTTGGGCCGAACTGAACGCCACACTCGCACACACTCATAAGAGTCCCGAAACCAGGTGCTCGAGTTGCAGCTCTCAGGTTCGGGTCTCACAACAAACGTTGAATGACGACGACCCCCCCCCCCCAGCCGGAATATTTAACACGATCAGCAAAGCCGCAAAGGGCAGGTGTCGTGTTCACGTGCTCATAAAGAGAAACAAAAAAAATGTTTGAAATGTGTCCAGTATGTCACACAGAATCCTCCCAGGAAGGTTGGAGAGTGACAACAGACAGCTCAGGTAGCCGACAGAAAACGTGTGTGTGTGTGTGTGTGTGTGTGTGTGTGCTTGAGTCTTCCGTTCACGCTCCCCCTCGTTAATAAAGTGTCAGTGAGCGGGCTGCTGGTGACATCATGGTGGGAGGGCCGGGTGTATAAAAGGGGAACCAAATGTCATTTAGTGCATTGGGCGGTGGGAAGCGTGAGGAAGTCATCGCAAGGTTGGTCCTACCTGCACAGAAGGGCCGCATCTCAATTTATTTTAATTATCGATTCATCTGCAAATGTATTTCTTCTATGATCGATCGATGACATGTCCCAGGACCCGATGTGATGCCTTCAAATTGCAAATTTTGTCAATTTACACTGATGTAAAAGTACACAGAAGTGGGATTCTTAAAGTCACAGTGAAACGGACAGTCAGGCCGGTCTTTGATTGGACTGCTAAAAAGTGGGCGGGTTTAGGAAAACTCATGCTGTCGCTAAATGTTTCAGAATGTTTGATGGATGGATGGATGTCATGATGTTATCAGTTTAAATTGGCTGGTACTTCCTCACCTAAGCACACGTCATATTTTGTTTGACAGGAAGAAAAGACGATTCGATTTTAATTCTATTTTTTTTTTTTTTTCTTAATTGTTTGCAAAAAAAACTTTGAACTAGATGTAGATGAATTTTCTGTCAGTCATCCCATCTATTAATTGTTAGCGTCTATTAATAGCTGCAGTACCAAGGGTGAAACCTAATGTCAAACCAGTGTGGAAATAACATTACTTAACACTTTAGAAATGTCCATTCTCATTGAACCCGGCCCGCCCGCCATGATGGCTTTCTATTCCAGCTTTCAAACGCCTCTCAAACCCAACGTCATAAAACAAAAATATTGGGCCAAATCCCCCTTACATCCACACTTCCTGCTCGGGGCCCTCTTCTGCTCCCACGGCAGTTTGCTTCTGATTTAAGCGACAACCTCTCCGCATGCAAAACATCAGCCACCTCCATAATTTGGCCTTGAGTTACGGCTGTAAGTGAAGGAGAGAGAGAGACGCAGGGACGTTAATTGAAATGCTGAATAAGAAGGAAGTGGACAAAATCGTCGGCGCATTTCTCCTGAAAGGTCGGCGTGATGGATTCGGTGGCCTGTCGTTTCCCCGTTGTTCCGTCAATCCCCCCCCCGCCCCGGTTGGGGGTGTTAATATATTTATTTGTTTGGCTTCGGTAATACATGCCTCCAAAAGCTATTGCATCATAAGGATTTGTCATTGCCTTATATAAATAAAGTATACGACCCAGACCTTAATGTGCCCTTGCTATTGATTGTTTTACGCAGCCGGTAGGAAGAAAAAAGAAAAGAAAAGAAAGAGTGAAAGGAACAGGCTGTAGATCAACATCCATATGAGTTTGTGTTTGTTGTTTGGCACCACGAAGCGCGTCCATAAAAGCATTGACTCGTCGTACCCTTTTAGCGCCCTAAGCTCCGATACGGGGCTGCGATTACTTGAAACCCCCACCACCACCACCACCCCCCACGGGTTTTGATTTAAACACATAATCCGCGAACGCGACACCCTGGTGGCGTCAAGGAGATGAAGTCACTCAAGCTGGCATCGCTCGTAAAAACGCCCGTCGCATTTATCGCCACGCAAGACACCTGTGACACAGATGGCGGGATCCGCGGGGGGGGGGGGGGGGGATCGAGGGGGGTACGATGTGGAAATGAAAAGCTTAAGCGAAGGCTTTCCACGCTCATTTATTTATTTTTCCGTACACTGATGGATCAGAGAAATCATATTGATTTTTACGACTGAAACGTTGAATTTTAAATCCACCATTTTTTTCTCTCTCTCTTTCTTTCATCTTCTCGAAGCACTCGACATTCCTGCGTCGTGGTGAGCAGGGACAGAAACGAAGGCTGCTCTGTACATGGTGGTGCATCTTTATCCCAACACACACGCACACACACACACGCACACACACACATATGTTCGCGTGCTGTCCTGTCATATAAAACCCTATGTGAGGCCCTCTCTTTATTCCCCCCCCCTCCCCCCCTGGTTGATGGAATAAAGATAAATGTGACTGTCTGCTGGGGCTCAAATCAATCAGCGTTTGTGTGTATTACTTATTACTCACAGTGCATTTCTGTCACGGGGCTTTTGTGTAACCCCCCCCACACACACTCCGCTGCCCTGCACTCTTCTATCAGACGCCCCGTCATAATGTTATTTATGGGGGTCGGACTTTGAGCTGAAATATAAGAAAGGTCAAAGAATCGAACGGGACACGCTGGGCAGGAGGGTGTTTTGTACTGGGACTGTGTGTGTGTGTGTGTGTGTGTGTGTGTGTGTGT